TTATCATGAGTTTATATTGATTAGATAAATTCCAGGGTCTTAGGATAAATAAAAGGCAATAATTAGCATAATTAACTAATAGTTAAGTCATAATTGCCTCATTTAAAAACTAAAGTAATCCAACATGAATCAAGTATTTTATATAATTAACTAGGGCCACTTAATTAATCACCGTAAAGAACTAATTCAAATTCAAATCCCTCAAATGCGCCAATCCTCTGAACTTCAAGGCCAAAGGGTGAGTGCCAGGTAGTTCAACTAGTAAAAGAACTTTGGAAATTATTCGTCAAAGGTCTAGTACTAGAATCCTACCCCTTAATTTGCCCCCCCTAAGCCCAATAAAATTATTGTCAAGGTCCTAGTACTGAATCCCTACAAAATTTAACTCAATTAAATATATTGACATATAGGATTTGAAAACCCTCAGGGATTTACAAAATCCATTTTTTACAAGAAGTTATTTTGAGCGGATTACCAATCCCTTTTGCGTAGTTTGCATGCAAGTATGAAGTAGCCCCCCTTTGTCCTAAAAATATACCTCAATACCGCCAGAGTAAAAGCAAAAGCGTGGGAAGCTATAGCATACATGACTTATTATGTAAATAATCAAACTACGAAAAACAACTGCAATTATTTTTTTAAAATAAACAGGTCGAAATTAAATCCAGTATGGCCAAAGAATGATAACATCAGCCGCTGCATTCCCCACTAGCAATTAATGTTCTTCCAACTTAGCAGCAGAACCTCCGTTAACCTTTTCTGAAACCAAAATCACGAATTTGCAGACAAAAATGTAAAAGAAAGAAAATATAAAGGCCCCAGTTAAGTACTTCAAACCAAATGCGACGGGCGAGAACTCAATAAGGCACATTTACAAGAGGAATTTCCCTGCTCATATAATCCAAAATTCTTAAACCCAAAAACCCTAATGAATCGGCTAAAAATAACCCTGAGGCCCACCGCCTAAAGCCAAGCAAGTCAAAGCCGAGAATCTGCTTTAATCCACCACATTGGTGGAATTTTCTTACTGGAAATCAGGGAAAGCAGTGGGTATCAAAGACGAACAGAATTGTTGCTTTCCCGGCTTCGTAGCACTGAATTTCTTGAGCGTCTTTCCTTTGGTTGAGAATACCCCTTTCCCCCTTTCTCCGCCTGAGTAAGTGCTCAAGCACTGCGGAGTAAAGATGCTTCTGCTATAGGAAATTTGACTTTATAACGGGGACAAATTTCCCGTTTACAAGGAAGAAATAACATAATTATATATCAAAAATTTTATTTTAAAAAATTAATTTTATTAAGATATACTTTTTTTAGGAGCTAATATTATTAATTTATGAAAAATTAGATAAAAAAATAGATTCCTTAAAAATCGGATAATTAATAAATATTAAAAATAATTAAATAAAAAATAAATGAATATAGTATATAACAATGATATATATAATTATTATATAAATAATTTATACAATTTAATTATTTAAAAATAAATGTAGTTTGCATAAAATAAGTTTAAATATTTAATATAAATTATTTTTTTTTATATTTTTTTTTTATTTTTTTTT